GATGCCAGATAGCCATGAATGTCAATATATGAATGTCCGTATGATGTGTAGGAGGTCATTTGATGCCAGATAGCCATGAATGTCAATATATGAATGTCAGTTTGATGTGTAGTAGGTCATTTGATGCCAGATACCCATGAATGTCAATATATGAATGTCAGTATGATGTGTAGGAGGTCATTTGATGCCAGATACCCATGAATGTCAATGTATGAATGTCAGTTTGATGTGTAGTAGGTCATTTGATGCCAGATACCCATGAATGTCAATATATGAATGTCCGTATGATGTGTAGTAGGTCATTTGATGCCAGATACCCATGAATGTCAATATATGAATGTCCGTATGATGTGTAGTAGGTCATTTGATGCCAGATACCCATGAATGTCAATATATGAATGTCCGTATGATGTGTAGGAGGTCATTTGATGCCAGATACCCATGAATGTCAATATATGAATGTCCGTATGATGTGTAGTAGGTCATTTGATGCCAGATACCCATGAATGTCAATATATGAATGTCAGTATGATGTGTAGGAGGTCATTTGATGCCAGATACCCATGAATGTCAATATATGAATGTCCGTATGATGTGTAGTAGGTCATTTGATGCCAGATACCCATGAATGTCAATGTATGAATGTCCGTATGATGTGTAGTAGGTCATTTGATGCCAGATACCCATGAATGTCAATAAATGAATGTCCATATGATGTGTAGGAGGTCATTTGATGCCAGATACCCATGAATGTCAATATATGAATGTCCGTATGATGTGTAGTAGGTCATTTGATGCCAGATACCCATGAATGTCAATATATGAATGTCAGTATGATGTGTAGGAGGTCATTTGATGCCAGATACCCATGAATGTCAATATATGAGTGTCTGTATGATGTGTAGGAGGTCATTTGATGCCAGATACCCATGAATGTCAATATATGAATGTCCGTATGATGTGTAGTAGGTCATTTGATGCCAGATACCCATGAATGTCAATATATGAATGTCAGTATGATGTGTAGGAGGTCATTTGATGCCAGATACCCATGAATGTCAATATATGAATGTCAGTTTGATGTGTAGTAGGTCATTTGATGCCAGATACCCATGAATGTCAATATATGAATGTCAGTATGATGTGTAGGAGGTCATTTGATGCCAGATACCCATGAATGTCAATATATGAATGTCCGTATGATGTGTAGTAGGTCATTTGATGCCAGATACCCATGAATGTCAATATATGAATGTCAGTTTGATGTGTAGTAGGTCATTTGATGCCAGATACCCATGAATGTCAATATATGAAAGTCCGTATGATGTGTAGTAGGTCATTTGATGCCAGATACCCATGAATGTCAATATATGAATGTCCGTATGATGTGTAGTAGGTCATTTGATGCCAGATACCCATGAATGTCAATATATGAGTGTCTGTATGATGTGTAGGAGGTCATTTGATGCCAGATACCCATGAATGTCAATATATGAATGTCCGTATGATGTGTAGTAGGTCATTTGATGCCAGATACCCATGAATGTCAATATATGAATGTCAGTATGATGTGTAGGAGGTCATTTGATGCCAGATACCCATGAATGTCAATATATGAATGTCAGTTTGATGTGTAGTAGGTCATTTGATGCCAGATACCCATGAATGTCAATATATGAATGTCAGTATGATGTGTAGGAGGTCATTTGATGCCAGATACCCATGAATGTCAATATATGAATGTCCGTATGATGTGTAGTAGGTCATTTGATGCCAGATACCCATGAATGTCAATATATGAATGTCAGTTTGATGTGTAGTAGGTCATTTGATGCCAGATACCCATGAATGTCAATATATGAAAGTCCGTATGATGTGTAGTAGGTCATTTGATGCCAGATACCCATGAATGTCAATATATGAATGTCAGTTTGATGTGTAGTAGGTCATTTGATGCCAGATAGCCATGAATGTCAATATATGAATGTCAGTATGATGTGTAGGAGGTCATTTGATGCCAGATACCCATGAATGTCAATATATGAATGTCAGTTTGATGTGTAGTAGGTCATTTGATGCCAGATACCCATGAATGTCAATATATGAATGTCAGTTTGATGTGTAGTAGGTCATTTGATGCCAGATACCCATGAATGTCAATATATGAATGTCCGTATGATGTGTAGTAGGTCATTTGATGCCAGATACCCATGAATGTCAATATATGAATGTCCGTATGATGTGTAGTAGGTCATTTGATGCCAGATACCCATGAATGTCAATATATGAATGTCCGTATGATGTGTAGTAGGTCATTTGATGCCAGATACCCATGAATGTCAATATATGAATGTCCGTATGATGTGTAGTAGGTCATTTGATGCCAGATACCCATGAATGTCAATATATGAATGTCAGTATGATGTGTAGGAGGTCATTTGATGCCAGATACCCATGAATGTCAATATATGAATGTCAGTTTGATGTGTAGTAGGTCATTTGATGCCAGATACCCATGAATGTCAATATATGAATGTCCGTATGATGTGTAGGAGGTCATTTGATGCCAGATAGCCATGAATGTCAATATATGAATGTCAGTTTGATGTGTAGTAGGTCATTTGATGCCAGATACCCATGAATGTCAATATATGAATGTCCGTATGATGTGTAGGAGGTCATTTGATGCCAGATACCCATGAATGTCAATATATGAATGTCAGTTTGATGTGTAGTAGGTCATTTGATGCCAGATAGCCATGAATGTCAATATATGAATGTCCGTATGATGTGTAGGAGGTCATTTGATGCCAGATAGCCATGAATGTCAATATATGAATGTCAGTTTGATGTGTAGTAGGTCATTTGATGCCAGATACCCATGAATGTCAATATATGAATGTCAGTATGATGTGTAGGAGGTCATTTGATGCCAGATACCCATGAATGTCAATGTATGAATGTCAGTTTGATGTGTAGTAGGTCATTTGATGCCAGATACCCATGAATGTCAATATATGAATGTCCGTATGATGTGTAGTAGGTCATTTGATGCCAGATACCCATGAATGTCAATGTATGAATGTCAGTATGATGTGTAGTAGGTCATTTGATGCCAGATACCCATGAATGTCAATATATGAATGTCCGTATGATGTGTAGGAGGTCATTTGATGCCAGATACCCATGAATGTCAATATATGAATGTCCGTATGATGTGTAGTAGGTCATTTGATGCCAGATACCCATGAATGTCAATATATGAATGTCAGTATGATGTGTAGGAGGTCATTTGATGCCAGATAGCCATGAATGTCAATATATGAATGTCAGTTTGATGTGTAGTAGGTCATTTGATGCCAGATACCCATGAATGTCAATATATGAATGTCAGTATGATGTGTAGGAGGTCATTTGATGCCAGATACCCATGAATGTCAATATATGAATGTCAGTTTGATGTGTAGTAGGTCATTTGATGCCAGATACCCATGAATGTCAATATATGAATGTCCATATGATGTGTAGTAGGTCATTTGATGCCAGATACCCATGAATGTCAATATATGAATGTCAGTTTGATGTGTAGTAGGTCATTTGATGCCAGATACCCATGAATGTCAATATATGAATGTCCGTATGATGTGTAGGAGGTCATTTGATGCCAGATACCCATGAATGTCAATATATGAATGTCCGTATGATGTGTAGTAGGTCATTTGATGCCAGATAGCCATGAATGTCAATATATGAATGTCAGTATGATGTGTAGTAGGTCATTTGATGCCAGATAGCCATGAATGTCAATATATGAATGTCCGTATGATGTGTAGGAGGTCATTTGATGCCAGATACCCATGAATGTCAATATATGAATGTCAGTATGATGTGTAGTAGGTCATTTGATGCCAGATAGCCATGAATGTCAATATATGAATGTCAGTTTGATGTGTAGTAGGTCATTTGAAGCCAGATACCCATGAATGTCAATATATGAATGTCCGTATGATGTGTAGTAGGTCATTTGATGCCAGATACCCATGAATGTCAATGTATGAATGTCAGTTTGATGTGTAGTAGGTCATTTGATGCCAGATAGCCATGAATGTCACAAAAAGAATCCATTAATGAAGGAGGACAAAATAATGGCTCATGTTGAGTTAAGATATATGTTTGTGTGATGTATTCTGTTGAATGTTCAAGGAGAAAGGCTTTTATTCTCATTTGAATTATCCCAGGGTAAGGGTAATATGTTCTGTTGAATGTTCATAGAGTTAGGGTGACATATTCTGTTGAATGTTCATTGAACTATGGTGACGTTTTCTGTTGAATATTTATAGAGCCATGGTGACGTGTTCTGTTGAATGTTCATAGAGCTATGGTGACGTGTTCTGTTGAATGTTCATAGAACTATGGTGACGTGTTCTGTTGAATGTTCATAGAGCTATGGTGACGTTTTCTGTTGAATGTTCATAGAGCTATGGTGACGTTTTCTGTTGAATGTTCATAGAGCTATGGTGACGTGTTCTGTTGAATGTTCATAGAGCTATGGTGACGTGTTCTGTTGAATGTTCATAGAGCTATGGTGATGTGTTCTGTTGAATGTTCATAGAGCTATGGTGACGTTTTCTGTTGAATGTTCATAGAGCTATGGTGACGTTTTCTGTTGAATGTTCATAGAGCTATGGTGACATGTTCTGTTGAATGTTCATAGAGCTATGGTGACGTGTTCTGTTGAATGTTCATAGAACTATGGTGACATGTTCTGTTGAATGTTCAAAGAGCAAGGGTGACATGTTCTATTGAATGTTCAGAGGGTAAGGGTAATATGTTACTTTGAAATGAAGGGTTGTGAAGGAATTAAGTGAGGTATTCACTTCAGTTGAAATGAAGGTTTATATGTAGACAAGAACATATTCCTTAGCACAAGAACAAAATGATTGTCAAGATATTCCCTATGGAATAAGCCTTTGACTTTTCAATGTGAGTTTTTGTTCCAGCTTGACTCTGACCAGCTGGTGCTGTTCCTCGAGGACCTGCTGCAGCTGCACCTCATACAAGGAAGTGTCCTTGACCTTGTGCATAAGACATACCAGCTGCCATCAGCTAATCCAGATGTAGGTACAGATGACTAACATGTTTGTCCACACTAAATTCTATAGAGAATACTAGACTTGCCGTAAAGGCGACTATGCTTGTCGTAAGAGGCAACTAACGGGATTGGGTGGTCAGGCTCGCTGACTTGGTTGATGCATGCCATCGATCCCAATTGCATGGATCGATGCTCATGACATTGATCACTGGATTGTCTGGTCCAGACTCGATTATTTACAGACCACTGTAATATAGCTGGAATATTGCTGAGTGCTGCTATAAACAACATAACAAACCAAAAACTAGACGAGTGTCTGTCAGCTACCATTTGTCCTAAGAGTTGTTTCAAAACTGATGAGCGAAACCTTTCATTTTTTGTATAAATGTTTTGAAACAACTTTAAGGATAAATGGTTTTTGACAAACTAGATATGAATTATAGCACACACAGGGCCTATCTGGTAGAACATGTACCCCTTGGTCCACAGTGCTCCTTAGTCGCAAAGGCTCGCTAAGTACTATGTTATACCTAATCCAGCATGTTTACCATCCTAAAACACATGCCCGTGATAGGCACTGTATGTTTTACGGTACACTGATTACTGAACAGTACTAGTGTTGCCTGTACAGACAGTTAGGATTGAACTTGGATATTACTAGGGGGGAAACGGCCACTCTAGGACTAGCATTGGTACACTGATAGAAAACAACAATAGGGGAAAAGAAAACAAGATGGCTGTGCTGTTTTCGATGCAGATTCCTGACATCAAGTAAACTAGAAACAGTGAAATGATGTTTTGCACTATATTGCTGATCAGCTTCGTCATCTTCAAAAGGGTAAAGTTATGTCATGTCAACAATTTTTAAACACTCCATTTAATATCGACCCTTTATTTCTGCCCGTTGTATTAGGTTGCCCTGATCTGGTGACACAATGATCACTGGAAGAACGATCCACATGCTGGTATCTTGAGAGTCGGAGGTATTGTTGATATGGAGAATATGATCTGATGTCTTGCACTAGAGAGCTATTTTCCTTGAAGGAGATTGTTTTTTATTTTCTCATTGCAGTGGTTATGTTGATGGAGTTTAACATAAAACAACCATCCTTGAATGCTAAAACACTCATGAGGAAGCATCAAGCTGATTCATCGGGGAGTAGTTATATTATTGCAGAGAATGGATGTTTTCGCATTGTTGAGCTATTCATTCTGTTGCTCGCAAGGGAAATGTAATATACAATGATTTTGATTTCTCTTTGAATGCTAGATTCTGCAAATAAAAAAACAAGTTAAACCTTTGTTGGTTATGGTATTACTCCTTTTGTATCAGTTGTTACGCATTTTCCGGCAACACAAAATCTGTGACATGACAGCTCTCTCAAGAGTATTCTGATCCATTCATCCCTTATAACCACTGCAAATTGAAAATGATTAATGTAAGTACCGGTATTCAAATGTTGAGGTGGGTGGAAGGGTCAGGTGCAGATGTTGCCTCACCAAAGGCCTGGGTTCTTGTCTCCATGTGATTACAATTTGTGAAGCCAAATCCAATGATACTGTGCAATATTAGCGTGTCATGTCCTCTGCAGGTGCGTCACCGATGGTGTGAGCTGGTCATTAAACACAGACACACACCTGGATATGGCGATGTCAAAACATTCCTGCTGAATGATCAGGTATTCTCAAAATTCATCTCAGCTTCATGATGACCGCCTCCGTGGTCAAGGAGTAGAGCGTCAACCCGGAGAGTGGAAGGTCCGGGGTTCGATCCCCGGCTGCGTCATACCAAAAGACATTAAAAGATGGTACTTGTTGTTACCCTGCCTGGAGCTCGGCCTTAAGGGGCTAAAACAAGGACTGGTTGGCTCAGAGTCTGTATACTGTGTATGAGTGAGGTATTCATGTTAAACTGCAGCAATGCATGTCAGTGTGCTAGCACTAAAATTGGCACCAGTCCAGACTAGTACAACCAGACACACACACACACGTGCATGCATATCGCCATATAGGTGTAATAATCTTGGACGCGATGTTTAACCCCATTTCACCTCACCACCAGCTTGGTGAGAAGTTAAGGTCAGGATAATCTGTTACTGGTCATTTTCTTGCTCTATTTAATCAAAGATGATTCTGTAGATGAGATAAGTGTTACCCATCATTTGATTTGGGGGCACCAGTCATCTGAGGCACAGCTATTCATTGCGCAGAGTTGCATTCCTTGGGCACGCTGGAAATCTTTGATTGTGGGTTTGAATCCCGCCTTGCCCCAATTATATTTCGAGGTTTTTTGGCATAATGCCCATGCTCGTCGGTTTCACTGAAGCGGTAACCATCTGAGACCTGCATCACTTGGGGCTTTCCTCCCACATTAAGCTGACACGCCATGATAAAACTAGAATGATATTCAAAATCATGACTCACTCACTCATATAATTTGATTTATTCTGCTGATATTTCTAGAATTATAGAATCTGTTTACGCATATTATCAGGACTGATTATTGTCTGGTGTTGACGTTATGACTTGATTTGCGAGCTGTTGAAAGAAATTAAACTAGTTGTCCCCTTAGGACAAAACCCCTTATTTGACAACTGGGTCAAAAGTCCCTACATGAGCTAACAGCTATTATTTTGACATTTATATAAGTAAATGTCTTACTATCAACATTAAATAAATGTTGTAAAAAACACCGTAAGGTTTAACCGACTTATAAAATCAGCCATTGGTGAGGGAAGACTCAGAGTAGTAATTAAGAAAACATCTATACATCAGATGAGAGTGCAGCCGTAGGAAGGCCTTAGGTATTCTCAGAACAACACTGAGAGTGACTTACATCTTCTGTTTCTTTACTAATGAAGCTTACAGGGGCTTTTGTCCTAGCGGGTTGAGGGTTATGTCCCAGAGGTCTCTTGTCCAAGGGGGTTTTGTCCATACACCTCTTTAACAGGCTGTTTTATGTTTTACTTCCAGGCCATGGGTGTATATTTGTATGGGGAAATGACGCTGTCTACATGCAAGAAGCTGAAGGACCTGGCTTGCCATTGTTTTAACCTGGTGGGACAAGATATGCCTGAAGGTGCTCACAAGACTGTCCATGCCATGCTGTATGGTACCTGAATACATACATGCAGATTACATTCGGTGTTCGTTCTGATTACTGTACATCATGTAATTAATGCATCACGAGAATAATATGAGCACGATTACCATAACAAACATGTGTTACTTAGTTAATGCGAGACATCCTACTTCTGATTTTAATTCAAACAGGATAATACTGCTATAAGCATGATAAAGTACATAAAAAACGCACCGCTACCGGGGGGAACACTTCCGTCATCTGACATCTCACAAGCTGATGTTTTCCATGAACACTATACTCCAAACTGCACATGGACTTTTAAGTAAGTAATAACACAAACAGAGACAGGAGCGACTCATTTGTGTCGGCACATTTGTTCTGTTGCATGTTAATAGAGCCATGGTGACATGTTCTGTTGCATGTTAATAGAGCCATGGTGACATGTTCTGTTGCATGTTAATAGAGCCATGGTGACATGTTCTGTTGCATGTCAATAGAGCCATGGTGACATGTTCTCTTGCATGTCAATAGAACCATGGTGACATGTTCTGTTGCATGTCAATAGAACCATGGTGACATGTTCTGTTGCATGTCAATAGAGCCATGGTGACATGTTCTGTTGCATGTCAATAGAGCCATGGTGACATGTTCTGTTGCATGTCAATAGAGCCATGGTGACATGTTCTGTTGCATGTCAATAGAGCTGGACCAGACAATCCAGTGAATGACATCATGAGCATCGGTCAATGCAATTGGGACATGATGACATGCAGCAACCAAATCAGCGAGCCTGAACACCCAATCCCGTTAGTTGCCTCTTATGACATGCATAATCGCCTTGGGTTATGGAGACCAATGTCTCGGGCCTGTAGGAGAATAGGACTTACTCTAAAAAACATTTGCTCATCATGATATTGTTTATGTTTGCTACTATACAATGGTAATTTATATGGAACGCTTTCAAACAGGGGGCAAGGGTGGCCCAGTTGTCTAAGGTGCCGCGATTCGCTGTGCAGAGTTGCATCCCTTGGGCGCGCCCAAAACCTATGATTGTGGGTTCGAATCCCGGTTCGCCCCGATTATGTTTCTAGGTTTGTCAGCACCATACCCGTGCTCGTGGGTTTCATCGAAGTGGTAAACGTCTGGGACCTGCATCACTTGGGGCTTTCCTCCCACATTAAGCTGACACGCCGTGATATAACTGGAATAGTGTTAAAAGCGGTGTTAAACCCAACTCACTCACTCACTCACTTTCAAACATCAGTCCATCTGAATCACAGGAATCAGTCAGTTATGGATCCATAAATCAAGCAATACATTATTGTCACCATTCAGTGCTGCATATCCTGTGGGAGTGTGGACAGAGTGAGGACATGAAGCATGTTTGTTGTTCAACTGTCGATCAACTAAAATGAGGATGGAGTGGTGACACTACATGGTCCGGCTGATGGTCCGTCATCGTACCGCGACCAATCCAGTCTCGAGTTTTTACAGGCAGACGCTGGACCATTCCTGACTGCAGTGAAAAAACATACCCTCACTCTTACAACATCACGATTGCGCTTTGCAGACAAAGACAACAGAGTGATCCACACGACACAGCTGTGCCCATTGGTCCCCGTTGTGTCGCAGGTTTTCGACTGCTCCTTTTATGGACGAAGGTAGCTGTTCAAGATCAAGACTTTGTAACTATGTGGACGAAGGTAGCTGTTCAAGATCAAGACTTTGTAACTATGTGGACGAAGGTAGCTGTTCAAAATCAAGACTTTGAAACTATGTGGACGAAGGTAGCTGTTCAAGATCAAGACTTTGTAACTATGTGGACAAAGGTAGCTGTTCAAGATCAAGACTTTGTAACTATGTGGACAAAGGTAGCTCTTCAAGATCAAGACTTTGTGACTATGTGGACGAAGGTAGCTGTTCAAGATCAAGACTGTGACTATGTGGACGAAGGTAGCTGTTCAAGATCAAGACTTTGTAACTATGTGGACGAAGGGAGCTGTTCAAGATCAAGACTTTGTAACTATGTGGACGAAGGTAGCTGTTCAAGAACAAGACTTTGTAACTATGTGGACAAAGGTAGCTGTTTAAGATCAAGGCTTTGTGACTGTGGACGAAGGTAGCCGTTCAAGATCAAGACTTTGTACCTATGTGGACGAAGGTAGCTGTTCAAGATCAAGACTTTGTAACTATGTGGACGAAGGTAGCTGTTCAAGATCAAGACTTTGTAACTATGTGGACGAAGGTAGCTGTTCAAGATCAAGACTTTGTAACTATGTGGATGAAGGTAGCTGTTCAAGATCAAGACTTTGTGACTATGTGGACGAAGGTAGCTGTTCAAGATCAAGACCTTGTGACTATGTGGACGAAGGTAGCTGTTTAAGATCAAGACTTTGTGACTATGTGGACGAAGGTAGCTGTTCAAGATCAAGACTTTGTAACTATGTGGACGAAGGTAGCTGTTCAAGATCAAGACTTTGTAACTATGTGGACGAAGGTAGCTGTTCAAGATCAAGACTTTGTAACTATGTGGACGAAGGTAGCTGTTCAAGATCAAGACTTTGTGACTATGTGGACGAAGGTAGCTGTTCAAGATCAAGACCTTGTGACTATGTGGACGAAGGTAGCTGTTTAAGATCAAGACTTTGTGACTATGTGGACGAAGGTAGCTGTTTAAGATCAAGACTTTGTGACTATGTGGACGAAGGTAGCTGTTCAAGATCAAGACTTTGTGACTATGTGGACGAAGGTAGCTGTACTCTAACTCTACCGAAATGTACTACAACATATAAATTCACTAGTAATTCCTGTCATTTTTGATATTACAGCTCCCGAGTGCAGACAAATTATATTTAACATAAAGATACATAAAGAATAGCATCTAACACATCCAAATACTGCTCAAAAGCGCTGAGGCTAATGCTCCTTTGAAGGGGATGGTCTTTCCAGCCATGTGAGTTCATGTCTTCAGGGGCCCCTGCGTCCTTGATTCCAGCTCCTTCCCTAGGTCCATAATTTAGGCTCGACTGACCAGCGCTTCCGGTCGAATAGCCACTTTCCTGTCCGGGGTCCTGGTCTCGTCAATCATGAAAGCCGGTAGGACCATCTAACCACTGCTGTCCCCAGCGTCCCACAGCCAGTGCGTCCGAACTGACAAGTGTATCGTGCAGCAAGCCGTCGCGAACCACCACCCAGAACTCATTTCCGACCCATCGATAGCATGCTGCGGTTCTCATAACGACTACGGTTCGTCTTGGCCATGGAATCTATCTTCTATAGACTATCTTCTATATGCTGAATTGGAGCAGATCATCTCATTATTTCAACCGACACGGTGGACACCCATACGCGCTCTATTTAATTACTAGTCAGTATCTTTAATCATCTGCATTATGCGTATGTCAGTCATGTTCCAAATTGATGCATGTTATCTGTGCAATTACGGAAATCATGTATTGCTGGTTGAGCATCAGGATCTTTGAGTTATCATATACGTAGGGCGGTGTTAAAATGACTGATTATCATTGAAACAGGACACTAAATGCACGCAGGCCACCATGTACACTAACACTTAGTATCTAAAAATATGTAATTTTGATAGAAAGAAATTACTCGTTTAAAATGAATAGGGGCCCAAGTGACATGGGAGATGAAAAGCTAGACTTGATTCATTAAGAGCTGGAAGGGAAAATAATATGGTCTAGGGAATGTGAGACAGTCTAGCCACCAGGTTATTCGGTCAGATCAGAACTATCCCAAATAAGGGAGCTGCATTTCCTTCAGCACAGCTTCACCTGCATAATGTCAAGGTTATTTAGTCCGATTATCTTGTCTCCATATGTGTTGGCGGTCATTCGGTCAAAAAATTCAAAGATTTACATTGAACACTTCGGCATTCATTAATCATATAGACAGCGGAACAAGCCGATCAAACTCGGAATGTTTGTACAAATCGCAGCGCCAACTGGCGTTCTTAATTGTCAACGTTGCACTTCAGCAGTTAAGTGTCCTTTGTTCCTTCTTTACATATGACGTCTTTCGTTTGCGAGTTCTTCATTGATATCGTTTTGTATTTTGAATTCATTATTTGTTTGTAAAAAAAATGACCTTCATTCGTAACATTGGACTATTATTGTGAAGTTTTGTCCTTTATTTCCACTTTGTATTTTTTGACCGGATGGCCGCTTATACATATACAGTTTCTTTCTTTCTGTCAACCTGCAAGACCCAGGCATCAGTTACTATTGGGTCGTCTTCGGGTTATCACTGGATCTAACAAAAATCCTCGCTACACTCCCCGTACTATATAAAATATTTACAAGCAATTTACACAGAGAAGAAAGTGTGTAGATGTTCCTTTGTTTAGTTTGTAAAAATCGAGTCTGGACCCGACAATCCAGTGATTGACACCATGAGCATCGATCCACGCAATTGGAATACGATGACATGCATCAACCAAGTCAGCGAGCCTGACCACTCGATCCCGTTTGTCGCCTCTTACGACAAGCATAGTCGCCTTATATGGCAAGAATGGGATGCTGAAGACCTATTCTATCCCAGATCTTCACGGGTCGAGAAATGTTTAGATAAAGTCTAGCATGGTATCATGCGTGAGTGTGACACTTCGCTAGATAATGGTTATATCACTTAGACCTTCGCGGAGTTATCTGGTCGGATCCCAGCACATGAGTGGATGATAGCATGAGCATCCATCCATTGTGGATACCATAACATCCATTGAGCCATATTGTCCATCCGGACCCCATTTCACTCAGCTCTTCTCATAAGCACAGGGGCGGTCGGGTAGACTAGTGGTTAAAGCGTTCGCTCGTCACACCGAAGACCCGGGTTCGATTCCCGACATGGGTACAATGTTTGAAGCCCATTTCTGGTGTCCCCCACCGTGATATTGCTGGAATATTGCTAAAAGCGGCGTAAAATCAAACTCGCTCACTCACTCAAAGCATACTTTCAAAGTTCCCCTGCTGTTCTGGAATCTACAACGGAAGCACTTATAGCAAAAGTTTGAACTGTATGACTTTGATTAAATATG